TTTATATATTTGATTATTGTTGATTTAATTGACGTGTATTTTTTTTGGTAGCTTATAATTTGTATATGTCGTAGGGTTTTATGTTTATATAATTTATGGTCGTCGACTTATAGGAAGTTGGAATTAAGGTTAGGGTTTATAGAAGCCTATATATATATAAGCTTTGGGTCTGCAAAGGTTTTAGAACCTTTTTTCCGTAACTGGAAGTAGAGAGAAATAGAGAGGGTTTGAGGGAAACTGAGAGAACCAATTAGGCTTTCAGCTATGGACTAAAGGTGTACCAAGGATGAAGGAATGGATGGCTTGTGGGATTAAGACTGAGCAGTAGGAGGTTTACCGATAATTGGCTGTCGTCGGAGAATTTGGAGACGACGTTGAAAGGTTTCAAACTGAAACCTAAAAGCAAGTTTCATTTTATCTTCTTCCTATAAAATTGTGTTCTCTACATTCTATATGGTCTCCAGGAAGTTAATTAAACTTTAAAACAGATGTTTATGCATAATGAATCAAGCTGCAAACTGTTTTTACGTTTTATGTAACTGTAATTGTTTTCTTGCATAAACTGTTGCTATTCTGTTTTAATTTTTGTCAATCAATTTATAATGGAATTTTAGAAGTTTCTACGACTGTTAAGACTTGAATTGAACCTTAGAATCTTTTTAAAAAAATTAGAACAGACAACTGGAACTTCGCCGGAAACGAAGAAGAAGACCAGAGGCGGAGAAGCTGAGTTCTTAGGGAGAGAGCCGGCTCCCTAAGTGAGGGAGCCGGCTCCCTAGATGAGAGATCCGGCTCTCCATGAGGAAGAGCCGGCTCTGGGAGCTTAAGAGTCGGCTCCCATGGTAGGGGAGCCGGCTCCCTTGTTGAAACACCCCTACGGGGTGTTTTCTGCTATTTTTGTGATTTCAGGGGTTGAAATGAACTTCTGAAATTAAACTGGGGGGGTTTTAAAAGATGTTTTGAACCTATTTAAGACCCAGGGATGTTGGTTTAGGCAGTGGTAAAAGACATCATGAATATAAAATATTAATGTGCATGTTGTCCAGAAGAAAGGAAGACTGAATTACTAGTTGTTTTAGCAAATTAAATGAACTAATATAAAAGGTATTTTTAGGACTTTATATCAATGATATATATCACATATTTAAGTCCCAGGAGTGTTGGTTGGGTTGCGGTTATGGACGTCATGTAATTTTAGATGTTTATTTACATGCTGTTAGAAGTTGAGGAGGTTTTACTTACTGGTTTTGTTTTAACCAGTTTAAATGGATTAGTATAAAATATCGTTAGTGTTTTATATAATGTGCAGTTTAGACTTCTGAGTATCATTATATTATGCACTGGTTTTAAGATTTGGGAATTAAATGGACGTCATGGGATTTAAATATTAATTTACATGCCGTCGAGGATTGAGGAGAATTTAATTACTAATCTTTGTTTTACTAATTTAAATGAACTGGTATAAAATACTATGTGGGAATTCTAGTATAATGTGCTAAGTTTATAATTCTGATAATCATTATATCATGCTATGGATGTAAATTGATGAACTGTTATAATTTCTGTTTTGTCAATTTGATGAAAATGGATGGTTTAAATTGTTTATAACTACTTTAGCAATTTAAACGGAAGTTCTATGATTTTAATCATATACTAGATGCATGATAGAATCTTATCTATATCTGATTTCTATTATATTGGTTTCTGGATGTACTTGATGTTCATTTCAGCGTGCATCATGGATCATATGCATTATATGCACCGGTATGGGACGGTGGCATATCAGGGATGGATTAGATCAAAACGCTAAATCCTACCTGTTCATACATACGGAATTGATTAACTAAAATAGTTAAATCTTAAATCCTACATGGATGCATGTCCTGTCAATTAAAACAGTTGAACGACATAGTGGATATTTGCTTTACTTTTCTATATTAGGAAATATTTATATATATCATTATGGTACCGTGATATGAGCTTGAGTCTCCTGATCACGGTTAGGGTGCGTATATTGTCTTGGATGGATAACTGGACCTAATGACATTCCTTGGTAGGTCTAGGTGTGTATGACTATGCTACATGCATTTTGCGTGTTACATTCTACTCAGGTGTGATGACTATAGGTTAGTGAGCATCCTATAGTGTGTATCTATATCTATATGGACTATTTTAGATATTGCTGAGTTATCTAGGATGTATCTGCGTATTGGGTTTATGTATGGAATGTAGTAGGATGGAACTTGCATGTGGGCCTGACCCACTCTTATTTTTCAGTTGTTCGTTAGTACCAGGCTTAGTGCTTGATCATGATGATGCAGATACAGACACTCACTCTTCCGACTACGTAGGACTTCCTTTCGTATTTAGTTTTGGATTTTGGTTATGTAATTTATTTTCATTTGGGATTATTAGGGGTTCACTGGATGGATTCCCAAGTTGTACGGATTGATAAGATTAAATTATATTAATTTATTTTCTATTTGGAGACTTTTTTATATTTAGAATTCATTTCAGCGTATTATTTTATATTTATTCTTTTGTACTCTTGCCTGTTTATATATTAATTGTCTGGTATCCCTCGTATCTGTACTCGGACTTAATCACCCGTGGCTCTAGAATTGAGGGGTATCACACCCCTGCTAAAAAAAATATTGTAAATAAATAATTAAAAAATGAGGGGTGGGGCATTTTAACACTGACAAAATAATTTTTTTTTTTCAAACAGGCTGAAAGTATAATAGTGTAACAACAATGCATTAGAATAAGTGAATAAAAAATGAATAAGAAGAGAAAAAAGAAAAGAAAAAGAAGGTTATTGCACATAAATTATGCATGAGTGCAAGAAAAAAGTAATTTTTTAAGAAGAAAATAAAATAAAAAGAAAAAAAAAATATGAGAGAATTTTGAAGGAAAAAATAGGTTTTAATTGTAGAAAGAGAATGCAAAAGTTTTTGAAGATGACAAAAAGAAATTTGAAGAATAAGAAGGAAAATGAATAAAGAATTAAAGAAGTTTTTAGAAATAGATAATTTTATGAGTGATAAATCATAATTTTTATGGGGGTGTTTTATAAATATTTATAAATTATACGCATAAAATAAAATAAAATTTAGTGAATTTAGGGGCAGATGTGCTATTTTATTAAAAAAAAAATTGGGGGGGGGGGGGGGGGGGGGGAAAGGAGGGATTTTATCAATATTTACAAATTTATGTATTAAAAAAAAATCTAGTCGGGCAGCATGGGCAGGGGGCAGCCCCATGCTGTCTCCGCCCCTGAGTGTAAGAGTAACTTGGTCATTTTTTTTACAAGTTTTGATGGAAAGAAGGAGTTGTTGAACATACATCCAAACCTCAAGGGAAGTCAAAGTAATAAATTCGAAATATGAGATTTGCCAAAACCTCAAGGGAGGTCAGTGTAATTTACCTTTATATATTTTTACCAATATACAAGGATATTAATTTTTATGTTTGGTTGGCTAACAGGAGAGAAAAGAAAAGATAAAGAGAGATTTCTTATCTGTCCAAATCTCTCATTTCCTATCCTTTCAAAAGAGAAAATATTTGGAGAGAAAATATTATGCTTAATGGTTTGTTTGGTAGAATGGAAGAAAAATGAATACAAGGGAGAAAGAAGGGATGAATGACACCCCTAGACAAAGGTTAATATCATTCCTTCTTTTTGTTTAATTGGATGAAAGAAAAGGGAATGGTGTAACTCCCTAATTTGTATGTTAAGAGAGAAAAGGGAAGATATAGATTACTAATATTGGGTTTATCTAATAATTACAAAGAATAACATTATAATTTAAAATATTTATAATAGTCTCGTTTCTTTTTCTTTCTCAAATTGTGAAGCGAGAAGGATAATTCATCCTCTTTTCTATCCCTCATTATCTCTTCTCTACCAAATAAATACCAAATAAATGAAGTTTAATTCTTCCTTCCTTATGTTCCCTCTACCACAGACCACTTTTCCTTCCTCCCTACCAAGGAAACCATTAGTGTCACTGTCATAATGCTTAAAAAAACATTTATATTTTAAAGAATAAAATAAAGAATAAAAATTTTAAAACATTTAGATCACACCTTAGAATTAAGGTACCATGATAAAAGAGTAGTGGGCAAGAATTTCATGTAACAAGTATATTGGTTGGATTATATCCAAATGCCATATTACAGTTTACAAATCCACTTTTCTTGTTTTTTTAATCCAAGAAAATCACTATTTTTACCTATTTAAAGTTTCCTTAACCACTTTCTCCTTATTTAAAATTTCCTACACCAACATTAGAAAGAAATATATATATATATACATTCAAAAACCCCATCATCATCGATCTTTTTGCTTGGGGCTTTCACGACATGCATCTTAAATTAAAAACATTCCACAAGCTTGAATCAAACAAGCATATGGTAAGGTCTTAACGGAAGTGAGAGTTTAGAAGCCAACATGAAATTAAACGACACTTTAGACTGATAAACTGAAAGTAAAAAAAAGTGTAGATTACGAGACCTTACCATCTGTTGAAAGTTATGGACAAGTGGAAGACCTACAGAAATATTAAATTGTTTTTTTTAAAAAAAAAAGTACAGAAAATTCACACTAAAATATTAGATGATTCTCATAACTTCTCTCTAACCTATCCATATTGTGGAAAATGAGATAGGGTTCCTTTGTTCGAAATGGGATCTAACAATTTTCAGGCCAAGCGCGCCTAGCTTTTCGAGTAGGTGTGCCAGTCCTTTCCAAAAAAAAAATAATAATAGTGATAATAATCCAAGTTGAATTATGTCCGGCCATTATAATGAAAAATATATATCTATTAATCACCCTCATTTCTGTAATAATAAATTGGCTAAAATAATTTTCTTTTTTGCCCTTTATGATTTATCCTACTATATTTTTTTCCCATTCCATTTGTTTATCAAAGGAAGCCTAAATTCAGAAGATAAAGAAAACTGAAAATTTAAATTATAAAGATTACAACTGAAAAAAAAAAAAAAAAAAAAAAAAAAAAAAAAAAAGAAGAAAAAAAAGCCAAGAAGTCCCAACAACTAAAATAAGAACACGCGTACAGAAAACTACAAGAAACCGAAATTAACAAACGCACACACACCGCCGATGATGAACCCTCAAGCACACTTCATAATCATAAGAGAACCGTCTGATCTCCACCCCATCATGAACCAACATGCATGAGGCAGAGAAGAACAGCACAAATCAGGTCTGTTGACCGAACTGCTCAGCCTTGTCCTTCATTTCACGAGCCTTGCTAGCCAGCTTCATGCGAGCCTGGTCCAGCTGGTCCGCACCAGGCGGTTGCCTACCGGTCAGGTACTTGTACATCCATGACAGCACGGTCACCGCCGCTACACCGAATCCACCCGAAGCCAGAAACCCAGCAACCAAAAGACACACCGTAATCATAGCGGGAACAAGAACCGGACTGAATATCACCAGCAGTGGCGTCGCTACGGTGATTCCGATCACCGTTCCGGCTAGTGTCAGCCCGGAGAGGAGCAGGAGGGACCCACCAGCGGTGGCTGCGGTGGCTGCCTTGACCACCTTGTGGGATGTGGGCGTTGGCTGAGGCTGGTGGCGTTGAAGCTCGGCCATTGATGGAGGATCAGACGGTGGAGAGTGAGAGTGCTATGGCGATAATATGGTGGGAGTGGTGGGTATTGAGTGGAGTAGAGCTTCGTTTATATAGATGGGTGTGAGGTGTCACGTGTTGAGTAGGGGTTGTCACGTGTTGATTTGCTCTTCATGCAGCGGTTGCATGTAACACAGTTCGTTTGTTCTCGGACACGTTATTTCTGTCCGGTTCTAAAGCTGTTGATGAGAGAAATGTTAAAAGTCTGACAATGATTCGCGCTCGTGGCAGTGATCAAGTGTGGCAGCGCACATATCCTTCTCAAACAACTCTTCCTACTGGGTGTTGCTTTTTGGCTATACAACTCTTCCCAAAGGTGTCACTTTCGACCTCTTAGTCTGACTGATTTAGATTTTATCACTTTCTCGCTCTTGCTCTTTAAAAAAAACAATTACTGCAATTAGAGTTAAGGAGTTAACAACTAAAGACCAGGTAATTCGTTCAGTAAACAAGCTTATTCATGCAATACTATTAAAAATCAACATGGGCCTTGAAATAATCGAGACGACGCATTTGTTTATTTGTTTCGTTTCGAGGCCCAGCCTCACTGGTAATGCTTGGCCCAACTTAGAAGGTTACTAGCCAGTTAACCTTTCGGCCCACCAAAGTTCTCGGATGATTTATGTTTGGCCCAATTAGAGGGACTCAAACACTAGAGAAGATTGCTTCTTCCAGACAATTTATTTATTATTATTTTTAATTTTTAGAAAATGCTTTATGGTGAGATATATGACTGAAAATGTTACATTCATGAGTAACAATTTTTAATTAATTAATTTTTTTTTTGTCTGTTCTTTAATTTTTTTGGCAACGATAGCCTGTTTCAATAAGATTTTAATTATTTAAACTCGTACCTACAATATAAAATTGAGATATCCACAATCACTTCAAAATTACAGACATCATTTAAACTAAGATTACAACTTGAGAGTTCAAGATAATAACCTTGAAACTCTGTCATTTGAACAACATAGACCGATTAATTTTCTTCAACTTTGGTCACTACAGAGTAAATTTTTGCACTAACAGATACCATATTAATAATTTGATTTAAATTTGGTCAACAACATAATGACAAATTGATCAAGTTTTCAGAATTTGTAACAATCTTCACCCTATTCAGAAACAATATTGTTCATTTTTTTTTTCTCGGATCAGAGACTTTCAGACACAATATTGTTCGTTTTGTTCTCTCGGATCAGAGACTTTCGAAGGAGTCACCCATCATGATACTACTCCAGATTAAACACGCTTAACTCCGGAGTTTTGACAGGTTCACAACCATCACGGCTATAAAACATGTTGGGTCATAGAAGAGTGTTGAAATCTCACTTGTCTCATTCACACCCAGGCAATGTGGAATTGTGCACTTGTAACTCGCCCAGTGTAATAGCATACTGGTGCCACCTGCACACGCTCGCACACATTCGCCCACAAGGTCGCAACAATCACCCCTTTGGGACCCAATATCCTTGTTGGTCACATTTTTAACTGGGTCAAGCTCTAATATCATTTATAACGACCCTCACCCTAATCAGACACGATATTATCCGCTTTTAACTGCCCAAATCAAAGACTGAATGAAAAATAAAATCCTTACGTGTCGCAATTTTATCATTATTTTTTAACGACTATAACGTCCTACCAACCAAACTGATTAATTAGTTGAACAAAAAGGGGAAAATTGGATTGAAAAGTAAGGGGTGAAGTGCGCACATTTTTCACGTTTTCATTTTTCTTCCATGAAATAGGTTAGATGTCATCTTCTGCAAATAGTTAAAAAGTTGACTATTATTAGAATTTAAAAGAGACACACTAGTGAAAATTTCTTCAATATTCAGGTGTGAACTGTGATTTTGAAGTTTATTATTCCTTTCCTACAACAACAAAAAGTGTAAGATATAAGACTTAGACCAAAACATACCAACTCTCATTGTTTACTCATGCATTTATGTGGAAAACCTTTTAATTATTAAATTTAAAATAAATAAATAAATCAATTCAAATTATATGATGTCAAAATTTCAGGTCATTAATTAAAAAAGTCAGTTGTTAAATTTGGGAGCACACATACAAGTTGAAAATTTTAAAGCCGTGCAGATATGTAAAAAATAAATTCATTAAAACATACTAAGTCGCATTGTTTACTAATTCGTTTATGAGGAAAACCTTATAAGTTATTGAGTTTAAAATGGAAATATATATATATATATATATATATAAAATAATCCAAATGACATGCTTGTCAACGATTTTATGTCATTAAGCCAAAAAGTTATTCTTAAATTCGGGAGCATACAACATGTAAAAAAATAAATTCATGACTAAGGCTCTGTGTTGCGGCATAAAATATTTTTTTTGATTTTTTTTTATTTTTTTTTTGAGGTAAATATTTTTATTTTTTTGTTATTTGGTAAAGGTCTAGGTCGAGCCCATCGGGTAGGCGTGTAAAATAGGATGAATAAGTTATTTTATTGTGTTTTAATATTTTTTTTGTTCGTATATATTTTACGACAAGCAAACACCAGAATACATAGAAAATATTTTTCGAAAAACATTTTACACTCAAATAGATGGAACCTAAAAGAGTCGTTCTCAAATGTCAAAAAGTAAATAGGTTAATTTCACTGGCAACCCTCAGGTTTGGCCAAATATTACACTAAAACAACTTTCAAAAATTACTATCACCCATATTACAAATGTTTGTTCCGTTTTTCACTTACACCCCAACCATCACATGCAAAGCTCTAACACCATGTAAATTAACGAAAATATCATTTGACTTTGTCAAAAGAATTCGTTAACCTACATGTAATGTTCCTGAATTTTGTCATTTTCTAATTTCTGGAATTTTCTGATTTTTAGGGGTATTTTCTCTTTTTCTCATTTTGCGTGCCGAACATGTGATACTCCTCTGATCCGGACACGGGTTGATCAGGCCCAGACCCAGGCCCAAACCCGAGGGAATATCAAACAATTAAAGTATTTTAAAGTGAACACAGATGATAAAATGAAATAATAAAGATGAAATAAAACTGAAAGAAACATTAATTATAACCCTCCATGCATAACTGAAATAATAAAACTCCAATCCTCCCAAAACTTCAAGGTTACAACTTGGGAATCCACTGGTGGACCCCTAACCAAAAATTCAACTGAAACTGAAAATTTAAAATAGAAAATACTAGAAACATCGAGAAAATCCTACGTAATCAGATGAATGTGAGACTGTCATTGACAAGCACGATCAAGCTCTAAGACTGGAACCGTCCTGTACCTGAGAAGAATAATAAAGGAGTGGGTCAGACCTACGAGCAAGTTCTAATCTAACTGCAATCCATACAATGACCCGATACGCAGATACACCGTAAACACCTCACCATATCTGTCTAGTCCATACGTATAATTATATCCACACTAAGGGACATTCACTAGTCTATAATAGGGGTCTCAACCTGAATAGAAGGCAACATACGAATACGCACCCAAAGGTGGGCATGAGTACCTAGACCTAACAGGGTACACCTCAACCTATTATTACCAGCTACGCATCCACCTCATATCTGAGACTCAAGCTCAGCTCGTGGTATCAAAAATATATATATAAAATCCATCCAAATCCAGGGTATGTAGTTCAAATGTTTAATAAACTGACATACAACAAACCAACTGGTTAGTCATTCAACTTATTCAGTTGATGTGACTTAACCTCCGTCCATTAATCCAGAAAGCCACTCAACTTAGTTGCAGTTGACATGTCTTAACCAAAATTAGGATTCAATGTTTATAAATCCATTCCTTAAATCCATTAGGTTAGGTTTAGGTTTTTGGAGCTAAACTGTCACTAATATATCACCGTCCCATACCGGTGCATACAATCCTCCATATCCAGGTAAATTACAATGTATACATAATGAACAAGTAATTTACAGTTCAACCATCATCCAAACAATTGCAGAAAAATATTTAAGATTTCAGCAATTTAAAACCCAGAATTAAACCATGTAATTGCAGGAAACAGTTTAATAGTTTACACAACCGGCATCCAAAGCATGCATAGACCCATTCCAATATATCAATGACTCTATCATGCATTTAGAACAAATTCTATAATCCTATTATAGTCCAACAAATTGCTAAATTAACCTAAACAATTTATTTCGTTCCATCCGATAACAGTGAACTAAGTCATACGCTTTTATACTGTTTTATCTTTTATCTTAGAGACTTAAACCATGCATCAACTAGTTTGATCACACTTAGAATCAAGTAATTAGATCCTCTGGAAAGTCCCCACAATCCATTAAAAACATCCCAAGGCTCAAACAGTGTCCAAATTACCAAACAGTGCCTTAAAACTAAAAAAAAAAACAAAATTAATCGTATATTGCAAAAGGGAGCCTGCTCCAAATTTTGGGAGCAGGCTCTTTCAGCCTAGAGCCGGCTCTAGGAGTCCTTAGAGCCGGCTCTACTTGTTGTGGGAGCCGGCTCCCACATCCATGGAGCCGGCTCTCACCTCATTTGAGAGCCTCTGTCCCCGTTGCTTCGTTTCAGTCCATCTGCTCCCTCTCTGATCAACTCCTACCACTCTGTTGGTTTCTAAAGTAGATCTTAAGCATCTTATTAACACCCAGGGGCATCCCAAAGGTTTCATAACAACCATTAGAAACAATTATAGAGGTTAAATTTGCTACCGAACTAACACGCGTTAGGAACAAATCTGAAACTTTGCAATAACAGTTCTAGTCCAACCCCTCTGTTCCTCTTCACTATGAATCTTAAGAGTCCTATAACACCCCATAATCATCCCCGTGATTTATTTACAAAGGTTAAAAACAATTACAGAAACTAAAATTGCTAACAACAAAACATGCTTAAAACAGAGAACTGAAACAAGACTTGCAAGCATTAAACAGAATTAATTTTTACACGCAAAGATCATCAATATATTATATGGTAAGCATTTAAGTTCTGATTTAATAATTAATTAAACCCTAGATATTATCTAGGTGTACAGAACACAAGCCAGATGGAATGAGGAAGAGAAGAACTTGCCTGTAGTTTTAGACTCAAAACTTGTCGCCGTCGTCCTAACTTCCAGCAACCACAGACTACCTTCTAGCCTCCTTTGGTTCTAGTCTAATCCACCAAAATCCTCCCTTGGTACTCATTGTTCTTCTCCTTGACAATTCTTACAGTGCCTCCGTTCACAACCCTCTGTGCTAAGAACTTACTTCACGTTTATGTAATCTGATTTATGATTGTAAACCCTAGGCTAAAGCATAATGGTTGTATTTATGGGTTTAACTCTAAAACCCTAATCCTTGTAATTTTAGAGGCAGAGCCCTAATCTTAATCCTAGTCGGCCCATAAACAAAACCTATGATTAAATTCTATGTTGATGCCCAAAAGAAAACTATGAGTCAATTAATGTATTTAAAAATTCACGTAACTTAATTTTAACATTACAAGAATTATAGTAAGTTAATTACCTAAGTTTAAAACAATGAATTGCAAATAATACAATTAATAATTTACAAAAAAAGACACAACAATTAAGAATTTAAATAAACCAAATAATGCACATAAAACCAATTTAATTCAAAATTCAAATAACCAATTAAACAAATGAAAAACAATAAAATAAATAAAAATGCAATAAAGACAATAAAATAAATAAAAATGCAATACAATAAATATTAAAAAAAATGGCAAGACTATCCTTTTAAAATTAAGGGTATTACAGGACATCATAGGATGTGCCGGCTGTGTCGGAGAGTTGGGTAAGACATTTCCTTGAGTTCAAGACTTTTGGAAATGCACCGGTTGTCATTTCGACTTTTCTTCATTTTTCGGGTCGGATAGTCCCGGGATCGTTGTGTACGAGGATTTTATTTTGGGTTCATTGCATACCATACGTGATTATTTTGTGCATAATTAATGTGGTTGTGTGCCATTTTGTATAGTTGTATGCATATATGTGTGTGTGATGGAAAATAGAAGGAAAAAGAAAAGTCAAAAAAAGAAAATTGTGTGGTGGGACCCACCACTATTAATCTATGTGACCAATAAGCCACATTTTGGCCTCCACTTTCTCTCTCCCCGTAAAACTCTCTTCCCCTCATTTTCTTTTTCTTTTTCTTTTCCTATTTTGTTTCAAGTTACAAACCTTGATTTCTCCCTCATCCCTTGGAAATTTTGGGTGCCGTTTGCGGCAAATCGAAGAGCTCGGCGAGATCTTCAAATTGATGTAAGCAATTGCAACTTTGGTGTATCATAGGAATTTCGAAAATTAAGGCTTTGATTTGGAGTTTTGGGAGTTTTCATCTCCATTGAGATATGGGTGTTCTAATACATTATTTTTTGTACTTTTGTGAGTTTTATAACTTGAATTGATGTCTAGCATGTTCAATTAGTATAAATTCTTGTAAAAATTGCTTAAATGATAGGTATGGAATATATGTGACTAATTGTTAGTTGTTTTATAGTATTTAAATATGCTTACATGAAGTTGAATCCATGTCTTATATGCTTGTTATGCAAAGTTTATGTTAAATGAGAACTTTAGTTATGTAGTTTAGAAAATGGCTTTATATAGCATGTGTGAGAGTCTTATGGTGGAATTGATGAATTGAAGTATGAAACATTCCATGCATTCATTGGGATAGAAAAAGGGGAAAAATGTCTTTAAAATAAGTGAAAATTGTTTTGGGAAAAGTTTTCTAAAAATGTTTGCGAAAACTCGGACGCCTAGGAGGCGCCTAGTGGTCCGTGGTGTTAATGTAGTCTAGAAGGGAGTATGGTTGAGCTAACCAGGCCGGATGCGACGCCTTGGATATGCCTTGTGGTCTTGGATGGTTAGCCAATCCTCCTTTCATGACGCCTTAGAGGTGCCTTGGGTCGGGTTACACTAACGATTTGAAAATTGAAACGGAAATGTTTCAGATATGGGGAGTGACATTTGCATGACATTGCACTTCATTAGAATATGGTGTGTATATGTTTGGGTGACAATTGTTATATACTTGTCGCTGTAGTTGTTGCCATGTACCCCTATGATATGATCCCGTTTTCTTTTACATATTCCTTACGTGGATTCACGGGATCATAAAAAGTGTCTTAGACACTTCCTACTAAGCGTTTAGCTCAACCCATTATTTTAACATTTTCAGGTTCGGGAAAAGAAGTGGCGGGCGACAATCCACCACAGTCGTAGTTTGGATTAGAAAAATGTATCTTTTTGCTACCTTTTGTATTAGGCCTTATTTTGTAAAGTGTTGACCCAAATGTATCATTTTGTAGCATGTGAAATATTTAGATTCATTTTGTATATGGCCATTGGGGAAATGTAATTATGTTTAATTACACTAAATCATTTAGTATACTTTATGTAACGTGTTGTAAATTATGTTAACATTGTTGTTGTTGTTATTGTATTAGATATTGAAATGTATTTAAATATGTACATGAGTATGATGTGTTGGGTGATTGGTTACCAATGTTGGTGTATCTTGGACAGTGAAAATTTCAAGTGTGGATAACCCTGAACCAGTCGACATGAAATTCCCACACGTCGACCGGTATCTTGGTAGTGAGTTTTTCACTGTACACATCTCAAACCAGTTGACGTGTAACTCCCCATATGTCGACCGGTTCCTGTATAATAAATGTCTGTGACTTATTTTGCCCTTGACCACTCACTCAAGTGTATTGTCACACATTATAAGGTCCAGTAAAATACAATAATTATATTTTAATCATAGAAAAAACTATATTGCCCCGAACTTTATCTTATTTTTTAATGTGATACGAGTAAATGACTATTGTGCCCCTTTGAGTTTCAAACCATTTGAATTGAGGCAAAGTACCATCTTGTCCTTTTTGGAATTAAATTTGCAAATTTAACGTGAAAGGACCATAATACCCTTAGATGATTTTGGGTCGTGTAAGGACCCGTTTAATGATCCGGATCCAGTAGATTTGTGTCGTTACACTACAAAACTAAATTAAAAGACTAAATTATCCCTAAATGCTTAGTAATTTACAATTATATTGGAAAGCTATTGTACAAAAGTACCCTCACTAAAATCTAGCACCTCATAAAATTTATGTGTTTTGTAATTTTAAAAACTAAACTACTCAACTTCTCTCACGCTGCAAACCCTCTAAACCATGGCGGTACAGGTAACGAGAATCGTTGTTTGGAACCGAACGGCAAAGCACAGGGTCCTAATCAATCAAATAAGGATTGCCTTTTTACGAATTCAAGGGGTCGCAGTGCTTTTCTAACTAAATAGTATGATTACCCCAAATGCCAACTATTTCCATATTCTGGTTGGAAGACATCCACCGTTCAGATGAAACCAATTGTGAACAAAAAAATAAAAACCTAATTGAGAAATTCTCTTGAACACAAACCAATCAATCATAAACTAATTCAAGAAAAGAAGAAATTGAGACTATTCATGAACAAAATTGAAACTATAGCAAACCTTAATGGTCCATAGCCTATCGCTTGGCCGGTAGTGTCCCAAATCTGGGCCTTAACCTCCTTGTCGTCGATGCTTCTGAAATTGCACTCCGTTGTCGCCGTCGTTGTTAGAAGGCCACCGAGCCTATTTGTGTGTGTGTGTGTGTATATATGCACACATATATTTTAGAGAGAAATTATTAGGGGCAATGTTGTCTTTTTTAATTTGTTAATATTTTAGCTTAAAATAAATTTTAAAAATAAGGGTAGATTTGTCTTTTCATAAGTTTTTAACGGTGTTAGTGATAAAAAAATAAAATTAGACTTAAATGATAGTAATTTTTAAAAGTTATTTCAAGGTGATACTTGACCAAATCTAAAAAAATGTCAATGAAATTAACCCAGAATAAATTTATACAAATATTTAGAAAGAAACGTTGAAAAATAAAATGAAGGAGGTCAAGAAAATACCACATAACACAATCTTTTATTTGTTTTTTTAGGTAAAGTTATAATTGTCAAATATAGGTATGGAAGTGTCAATAACCATTTCAAACGATAATTTCAAAATTGTCATGGATGAGAAAAGCCACCTCTAGTAACAAACAAACAGCATTTTTTTATCCACACAACCAAACAAACCCTATTTTCCTCCTAATACACAGCTTATTTCCAGCTGAAAATTAACCAACCAATAATTGCTCTCCAACTGGTAATTGTCTTATTTCATACCCAACTTGACACCCATTTGATCGGGCCTCCATTTCCAACCCGGCTCGCTCAGCCGCTTGCCCATTCTTCCTCCGCTTGGGCGACCCACTCTCCGAAGCTGAAGACGATGGCGACACACTCGGCTCCGGTGACCTCCGTTTAGCCGTCACCCTAACCGGCTCGGGCTCATTCGACCCGACCCGGTGCGGGAAATTCAGCAAAGCCCTCGAACCACGCATCCTATAAGCCGCTTTGTCATAAGCCATGGCGGCCTCCTCCGCCGTCTCGTACGTTCCTAGCCAAACCCTCGCCCCGTTCTTCGCCGGATCTCTTATCTCCGCCGCAAACTTCCCCCACGGACGCCGCCTAACACCCCGGTAATGCCTCCCCTTCAGGGGCACCACCGCAGGCGGCGCCACCAGCTCAGGCGTAGCCGGACTAGAAACCGTAGCCGGCTCAGGCTCGGGCTCATCTCTCGGCTCGGTCTTAACGTCAGCCGCCGTTAAATTAAACGGCGTCCACCCAGCACTAACGGCGTCGTGTAACAAACCGTATATAACCATATCTTCCGAGTCATCTTCTTTCAACGGTAAGTCACCCCAGGTCTCCGTCAAGCATGGCATAAGACTACTGAAGCTTGAGCTCCGGTAATATATGGGGAATTCGCCGGAATGGGTCGCCGGAAAACTCGCCGGCCTAGAGTCATGTGCATACATGTTAGTACAAAATTGGATTTTTTTTGAGCTTGAGATTTTTTTTTGTTGAGAGAGAGAGGTGAGATGAGAGAGAAGGTGTGTAGAGGATAGAGTCGAATTTGGGAAAGAATGGGTTGGTGTTAGCTTTATAGTGGATTGAGTGGAAATAAGATTCATGAACCTGTCACATGTGGGTCAGAGTTGTAATTATTTTTTTCTATTTTTATAAATTATTTGGAGATTTCTCAGAAATTTCATTTATTAGCAAGTGGGCAAGTAGGGAGGAAAGCTTAGTGGATTTAATCACGTGGTTGAAATGTTGCCAAATGCGCTGGTGATGTCATTTGCTGATCTTAACAATTCGTGCACACAGCGAGTGACATACACGCAATATAAAAAAATTAATAATAATCTTCATTTTAAAAAACAATAAACACACACACACATATATATATATATAATTGACAATAAATAACTATGTGTATCTCATGTCTTTTTTTCGATCTCTAGTTCGTTCACGGTGCCAATGATTTTTTGTTGAAAAATTTATTATAAAATGAAATGAAATCATTTGTGGCTTTAATCAAATTAAATTAAATTAATTTAATTATGTGTTGCATGAATCTCAAATCTTTCAAAATGTTATTGCTGCACTCACGTTATGAATAATTCAAAGATTGAGAGATCTCATGGATGTACGATCATGTTATAAAATATTTTAAAATAAAAACACATCACCCTGATTTAACGAAAAATAAGAAAAGGAGATGCAGCTTTAATATTATTATTATTTCCATCCTTACAACCATAGGATATAGAGAAAAGAAATAAGATATCCAAATGAAATACTTCCATTTTTCTTTTCTTTTCTTTTTCTTTTCCTTCATAAAATTTGTGAATCAAGTTGACCTTTAGACAAATTTGTACCACCTTTGTGATTATTCAAATGCAACCTAAATGCTCTTTGAATATCTTGCATATATAGACTTTTCTAATAAAAATTTGGTTTTTGATCAATGGTAAGAGGTGTGGTGCATGTATCTATATATATGTATTATATATATATATGGATAATTCATGGCTTCTCTTACATCTTCAACCTTTTGAGATTGAATCAATTAAGCAACTTAAAAATTGTGGTAATATTTACCACAAATATAATTATAGAGTTACTTTTAAGTACGTATCGATAACATCCGTAACAAATAATGAGTGAAATAATATAATTATCACGACGAGCAGGGATGGATCTAAAAATTTATATGAGGGGGGGGTATCGAGAGTTTTTTTTTTCATAATTTTAGTGAGGATAATTTCAAAATTTTATGAGTATAAATACAAAAAGGTACAAATTTAAGAATATAAAATGCAATAACAAAAAATTTCAATAAGAGTGGATGTCCCCAATTAGCCCACAGTAGACCTGTCCCTAATGACTAGATAACTTAAAATTGTTAAGTATGTTGTAATATTCATAACAAATGAGTGAGACAAAATAACTATCCCGGTCACATAATTTAATACAGTTCTAGCATATAACTCTGAAGTTATTTTTAAATATGGGTGATACTCGCAACAAATGATGAGTGAGATAAAATAACTAAGAAAATGATATATTTGAGAACATATTTTATTCGACTATACAACCGACATGATGTGATAATGAATAATTAACATGAATATCTTAAAAAGAGTTGTTATTCTTTTTAGCAATTAATAAAAATTCGTATTGAACTTTATTTATTGGCGTAAAAGAGATCAATTTTTGTAACAATTCTCAAATAACTATCCCAGTCGTGACACGATTTGGTTTTAGAAAGTTATCATGTGGCACGTTAAAAAGCCACTTAATGTGAACCGCATGAAACTGCATACAAAGGCTAAAGAAGATTTTGAAGGGGTTGAATGGAATCTGCTAAAGTCCGGGTGGTATAGCAAGGACAATATTAATAATGCAACATTAATGTCTTTTTGATAAAGACGAGGACATGAATGGTACGGAAACATAAAACCTTAGCCATTTTTTTTTCACATTTCTTAGGGTTCGCATTGGGAGGACAATGATTATTACATTTCAAAAAAAAAAGGACAATAATTATTGTGGTCCAACTCCCACCCTTTCACGGCATTGAAACCAAAAATCAATCCAGGTCCGGGTATGTAATTAATTGTATTTGTACCCAAAAAAGAAAAAAAAAGTACAACCATGTACTTCAATTTGACAATTTTCTTTTGAAGGAGAGTTAGGTTACGAAAAAAAAAGGTTTAGATAGGCCGGGATCTATGTAACCCCAATCAATCATAAATTGTCACATAATTAATTTTATTTTCATGTATTATATGTCAGTCTGTGATTGACCGGACCATTTAATTACTCCACTAGAGATACAAACCAATCATTTAACATTAGTTATTGTTGCAAATTGAAAGGATTGTATACAAAAGTGGAACAAATTTTCATTACTATATCAATTTAATCTTTTGCCATTGCATCAATTTATTAGATATTTTGTTTAGTATTTAATCGTGTCTATGTTATAATGTTTCTTAAATTCATCACAGTACTTTGTTTGAGGTGAAAAAATCTTCAGTTGAGGAGGAGCTACGAATAGCTTGAGGTGGAGGTATGAAGAAATCCTTATTTGAGATGGAACTATATAAAAGCACGTGAAGATAGAATTTTAATTCAAGGTGGAGATTATTGGGGTTTGTGAATCAAAAAATTGTGTGTAGAAAATTAGTTTTCTTTTTCGTTTTGGAATGTTGAAACTTATAAAAGAAATTGTATCCTATTATATTTCTATTTTAGAGTTTTGATCATTATGGTAACTCCTTATAGGCAAGTTGAGGAATACTTGTTCAACAAAAAATTGGGTTAGAAGACTCTATAAATAGAGATGGGTGTGAGAGCTTTAGAGAGAGAGAGAGAAGAGAGAAAAGATGTAAGGGGTTTACGGGTGAGTGTTGTGAGAAGAGAAGATAGTATATATAATTCTCGAGTGTATACATGTAGTCTAAAAAAAAAATGATGAGTGAGTGAGTAAGGTTTTGACATGTGGTTGTATATTCTCTTTCTTGATTCATCTCTCTCTCCCATAGACGTAACCTTAGAGTTAAGTAAACCATGTAAAATATGGTGTTTATGTGTGGATATGTTATCTCCATAACTTGTGTTAATGTGATGTTATGATGCTTCCACTCTATGTGATGAAGGAGGGATTTAACTCTCAACAACAGCAGATCATTGAGTGGGTTGAAGATAGTTAATTATCCCTAACAATCTATACATAATAAAAATTGTTAGAAAAGGAAGATTAACGAGACCTTTTTTTTTTTTCTTGGATATTACTTGCACAAAATTGTTTCTCATATTCGGACTTATTGAAATTTCTGAATAAATTATCTCACTACATTGCTATTTTAGGGTTGGAGATTGATATGGTATATTCTTGTATGGTGTATGCAAGTTGAGAAACTCTTGTCTAACGAAGAATTAAGTTTGAAGATTAAATAAATATGGATGTAAGCATTGTGAGGAGAAGAAAGGAGTTCGAGTGTTCTTAAAAAGAAAAGATTAAAAGAGTACGAGGGTATATTCTCTTCTTCATATATAATATAGTGAGATGGGATGTAGCCTTACGTTTGGATTGAGAGATTTGGAGGGATAGTGAGAGAAAAGAAAAGAAACAAAATGGTAGTGTAGATTGCGTTTGGGTTGGTTAAAATGAGAGAAAATATAGGACAGAGAGATCTCCAAAAAAAAATGAGAAGATAGAGAAAGAAAGGATAGCGTTTAAGTAGTATTTTCATAATTTTGAAACAACTCTCAACAATTAAAAGAAGTAAATTATTATTTCACTCATATTCCATCTATTTTAATTTTTAAAGGACATGATAGTAATTTGGTTGTTATCATTTATCTTCTTTTATTCCTTCTATCATATCTAAACAAGAACTAAGCGAATCATATAAAATATTATTTTATACGTGAATGTGTATAGTTGTTATATATATATATTTGTTGGTATGATGTGATGATAAAGGCGGAATTTAACTCTTACCACCAAACAATGAATTTGTCTATTTGTCTATTTAGATCATAGTGTGAAAGGAATAAAGAGTTGTATAGATGTCAAATTATGAATTAAAAAAATACTATAAACAGTAAGAATTTAGGCCAGAAGTCTTCCAAAAATTGTTTAATTAACTAAATTAAATAATTAAAGAATCACTGTACCAAAGTTGGAAATTTCACCAAACGGTTGGAGATGAAGTTTCAGACAAAACATGATTTAGTATTAACATGTATGATGTATATACATGCAAGTGGTAGTAACAAACAGCTTGTCAACATTCAAATTCAACGTTTGATTTTTTTGCAGATTCAAGTCTTCGTCATTCGTTTGATTAATTGTGTCAGACTCATAGCGGGCGGTCTCAGCTATGTTTTCCAACCACTCCTCCACCTCTCTAACATTGAGTCCGCTATTAAACGACAACAAAAAATAATAAATAAATAAATTAAATTATCGCCTTTAAATCAGTGAAATTCAATTAAAAATTATTTTAAAGTCAACGCCTAATAAATCTGTACGAAAAGCTGCGTAGTACATTGAAATCCACAATTCAACAATTTTTTCTTTAACTAAAAAAGAAAAAAGACAATTCAACAATTTTAAATAAACACTATAATAATTAGATAAATATGTTAAATTTTAAAATTTTAATTTAATAATGTAATGTTATAACAAGGAATCATATGTTACATGAATGTTATAAAAAAATAAGATATAATTTTGACTTTTTAACTTATTTTTAATCAGGTTTAGAATGTAATTTTGAAATCGAATTGGATTGAAGTCCAATTTGGTTTTAAAAAAAAAAGGTCTATTTGGATTCTTAACTAGGGATCTGAATGGAACGAGTATAGTGTGAAATGCCTTTATCTCATACACGTTTCACAAGATGTCAAAATGCTTAATTTAAATAATAAAAAAGAAAAAAGAAAAAAGAAAAAAGAAAAAAGAAAGTATCATTTTCAAACTTGCTCGTAACTCAATTAATCTGATCACCAAATTATTTACTTACATTAGAGCGGGAAAGTCCGAGTCAAATTGACATCCATATTTT